TGATGGCAGTTCACCAAGCTTTTTTAGAAATGCTCTAATCTCGAAGGAGTTTTGTCCAAACATACATCATCTTAAAATTGGGTTATATTTGGCTATCGGTTCAATGATGAAGCTTAAAAGTCGTGTTTTACTAAGTCTTACTATAGACCAATAAGACGTTCTCTTCAACATTCATAGATATGGAAGTGATCTTGTAAATACAGTTTCTAGGTTCTCCACTTAATAGACATAATATATATATATATATATATATATATATATATATATGTTTATATCCGTTTTAGTATCTTTTCCTCTAAATAAACTAAAAATTCAAGAATCTTTGTCTATTCATCAGTGACAGCTAGCTGCATAAAATACATAAAACTGATTTTGGAGCTATATATATTGCTTGTTTGCACTTGTTGTGGTTCTTGATTTTAGATAAAAAAATTCATGCTCTCTTCGTGCATTTTTTTTTCTTTCTTGTAGGCAGCATCTGAATTGAGGCGGACTTTTATGAAGGAGATTAAGAGAGTTGGGACTGAAGGAGCTAAAGTGATACGACTGCTTGGGGAGAAAGTTGAAAAGATGGAGAAACTAAGCCCTGGAGATCCTCTCAAAGATGTTCATGAAGCTGCTGAGGATCTCCAATTGTTGATTGACCAAAAATCTTATCTTTTGGTTAATGCAGAGAATTGGGAAAGTTCAAAAAGACCTAAGAAGTTTGAAGATCCTGAACGCCTACAAGAACTTAAGGACAATGAACCTAAACCAATGGTAATTAATTCCCTTAGTGAAGCTACTCTCCATCTAAGGTCTGCTCACACATTGAAACACATGGATACTCTTAATCCAAATGTAAGTGTCAACTTTTCTACTTCACAATGGGGTTCCTCAGCAGATGTATTCGCGCAGCAGACAATGTGGCCTTCACGGCTTTCACTTATTGGAGATGTGATTTTAAACGAACGTGAAGTACGAACTTTTGAAAGTGCTAGTACATTATCACTGTCAACATTTACATCCTTGTTGATTGAGTTTGTTGCAAGACTTCAGAATCTTCTTCGTGCATTTCAAGAGCTCAGTGAAAAGGCAAAATTTAAGGAACCTGTAGATGCAACTGACACTAAAGAGGCAACTACTCTTTGAGGCAGGTTATGTAACCTTTCCTTCTGCTATTGACAATCACAAAGATGTTATCGATCATGTCAGGTTTTGGCTTGGAATGAAAGCTATTCTCTTGAAGATGTTTTTGAGATGATTATGTATACTATAACTAAGAATTGTAGAAATGTCAAGAAAAGGTCTCTGTTCTGCAGCATGTTTTCAGAGCTGTGAATCCAATAGATACAAATCTTCTTGACCCAAACAGTGTATTAGTTCATGAAGAAGAGTACATGTATATGTGCATTATAATATTTGTACTTGTTTCTGCTGAATCTGTAAAGCATTCAAGATCTTTAAAGGACATTAGCTGGATAATATGGTCTTGTCATGATATGCAGATTGCATCTCTAAAAGATGCTTTCAGAAGGACTTGTATGAATAATAGTAATTTATTGGAAGTCATTTGTTTAGCATTCTAAGTTTTTCTTGCTTCCATACCACCAGTTTGTGGAGACAATATTTTCACCAAGAGGGTTCAACATCTATTATATAGTTTTTCGGTAGAGGGTGTTTGAAAGAACGCCCTAGCTTATTAACTCCACCAAAGAAAGTTCTGAGGCTCAATAGTCAATACCATTACTTTTTCAGCTTGGAAATCAATGAGATCATCAAGCATCTCTTTAAACATGTAGAAACTAGAAACCCTCATGAAAAAAGAGGTCAATTTTTTGTTCAGCACTAGTAGTGTTTAATAGATACAAGCATTAGTTGAGGTGTCAAAATGAAAATTAACAAACACACATTTGAGCTAGTACTCGAGAACTAATGTAATTCCATTTCTCGGGTGCCATCTCAAATGCGTGTTTGTTAATTTTCACCGACACTTAATATACTAACAGAAAGTATATTAAGTGCAACGCAAAAAGTAGAATTATTTTCAATGTAGTCATCTTTTTGGAGATATACTCAATAGGGAAAGCATATTCTTTGACTTTTATAAATTTAATAATTTAATTTATAGTAATATTTTGCAGAAAGAAAAAATCCATAAATATTGTTCATTAGTTAGCCCAAGGACAAATATTAATTACAATTACGAATTTTAAAGGGTTGATTTATTCGTAATAGTTAGTCAGCAATGGGTGGTGTTGGTTCACGTAGGAAGCAGCCCCCACGATTTTTCAAGGCTATGTTTGTTTGAATTTTTTATAAAATAAAATAAAAATGTGTGTGTGATTTTTGCACGAGTTTCACACTCCATTTTTCAAATCTATGAATAATACGACTTTCGTAATAGAATCTAATCAAATTCGAATTCTTCACTATATTGATAAGAATTGCAACATGATTTTTTTTAACTTCAGAGTCATAATTACAACACTCAAGCTATTGAAATTGAAATTACAAGTAATTAAAGAACACATATAAGAATGAAAGCGAAATATTTAGGCTTTAAGAAGGGAGCTGAGAGGAATAAGATTCTTTATCTTAACAATAGGTATAATTCTTGAATCACATATCAGTTACCATTAACTTTTTTAATTGAACCGTTTCCGTGCCCCACTATTCAACCTAAATCTCAAATTAACCTAATCCTTTTGTTTGTTTTCGCCTCAATAGTTCTTGTCAGCCCAATAACTATTTGTGTGCCCCTGATATCCACATTGAATTGGACTTGATTCATAATAGGATTCCAGTAGCGGTGATTTCATATCCAAACTCGTACAAAAGCAAGATAAAATTGATTTATTATTTTTACAATTAATTTCTTTTTCAAAATGTAAATAAATTAGTAAAATTCTCAAAAAAAATTCCTAAAATATCTTTCTACGAGTAAACGTGGAACGATTTGGCATAGATTGATACCGACACCTCAGAATTTGGTAACCTCGCCTCCATTAACAATTACTTATGAATCCTTTTCGGTTTACACCCATTATCTCTAATCCTTCAAATCTTTTTTGTGGAGTTAATAAATTATTTGCCCTTTGGTTGAATCACAAGGACTTACTTCAATTTTGACTACCTCATATTGGGAATTTGCTCTACGCTCTATCTATAAAGAGGTTGGAGCTATTGCGGATAAGCAAACTATAACTATTCTTGTTTGCTCAAACTAGTAAAACTATTTTTCTTAATTATGATTTCTTAAGAAAAGTGTAATTAGCTTTTGTCTTTTAATTTAAAAAAAAATAAAAATTGACAACTAATATCGAACAGTAAGAACAATTTCTTAAAGAACATGTAAATTAAAAATGTGACAAGAAAAATGATTCAAAGGGGACAATTTAATTCCAGGTAGTCCTTTGATAAGCTTGCTTTATTACGGGTCTTATTTTTCATTGGGGGAATAGTTATGAGCTTTCTGCGCCAATATTTATTAAAAATGCAGTGTCACACATTAATGAACAAAAATAAATATTCTGATTTCTTCCCCTGTTTTCTCTTCTCTTTTATTTTTCCTTTATAGGTTAAAAATAACAAATAAAAAAATATTTTAAAATAATAAATGAATAAATATGAATGGAAAAAATAATTGACCGAAAATATTCAAACAAGAAATATATCTCAACTATATAGAATCGATGTCTTTGAAGTTCATTTTTTGTTCAAAAAGACTTAGAAAACATAAGTAAATTATATTTTATACGATTATATATAATTTATTGATTAATTTATATTCAATAACAAAGATTGAATGGTTTTCATAGAAATGTTTCAAGAACCTTAATATGATATTATATATTTTAGTATTTAATTTTTAAAAAATCGAATATCATATTAATAGCAGAATTTTTAATTTTGATACACTCAATTGTATTTATCAAAATATACAAACTACAACTAGGATTCTCTAAGCTATGTGAGCTTCATTTTTTTTATGACATATTAATATGTCATAATCATAGTCTATTAATCTACTTGCCGCAATATTTTAATACTTTTAAAGAAACTTTGTCTAGTGTTATGGATTAGATTTTTGATCAAATTACTCATCCAATTTCAAACCTACCCTAATATACACTATACACTATAGTTGGTGAATATAAGTTTTCAAAGTTGTTGAAACTATTTTCCGGTCCCAAAAATAATTATTCTCACCATCCCAATATATGTGAGTATATTTGACTAAATATATAATTTATAACAATAATAATAGTAATAATAATAATATATTTATTGTGATTTTATAAGTGTGATTTGGAGAAATTGATATATCAATTATTATATATTCTTATACCTTATATTATATAGGTGAGGGGTTTATTCAGATAAATTTCTGGCTCAAATAAAATATATCAAAATACTAGATATATAATCTAATGAGAAAAAAATATTCTACTCATTTCAATTTAAAACATTTAGTAATTTGATTAGATATAGAGTAAGAAAATATGAAAACTTTTCAATATTGATATGTGTAATATCTTTACCAAAATGATCAAGCCATGCAAAATGTTGAGATTAGAGAGTTATCAAATATAAAAAGAGTTATTCTTTTCAAAATAATTTTTTTAGAAAGACAAGATACTTAAATTGAGATGAAAGAAATACTCTTTTCATTCCTTTTTACTCCTCTTTGAGAAATCATTTAGGAGTATTGAGTTTTTCTTTTACTAAAATTAAAAGTTATCTATGTTCACAATATAATTTAAATTTGGCTATTAATACTCAAAATAGTTTGAGATATATTTATTTATTTATAACTATAAAATTGAAAATAACATCTTGCTTTGATTTCTTAAAATATATAATTAAATTATTTTTAAATATAATAGATTAAAAAGAAAAGAATATGATGCAATTTGAGACAAAATGTATGTTACTCCTATTTACACAAAATTATTAGTACCTTTATAAGTTATATATGAATTTAATGCTTTTATTTTTTGGGAAAACAAATCAAAGAAATTAAATTCACTCCTTCAAGCTAACGCCAGCAGACTCAGCGGTTCTCTGGCTTGCTGGCCCCATTTCTGATATCTCTTTTACCACCCACCCACCCACCCACCCTCCCTCCCTCCTCCACTCCCCTTTTCTAGATACCCTTTTGCTGCCGCACCTTCACGGTCACCAAAAATATATTTCTATTTAATTCCATCACATATCTGCGTATTCATCAATTCGATTAACGGTAGATGTGAGATTACAGTTTTTTTGTTTATCGGATCGGGAGTTTTTTGGTTACCGGAGATGGGGGATGGGGATTCTATTACTACGGCGGTGGGACAGAATTTGGTGGACCGAGATTTTATGGAAGAAGCTTCTAGAATCGTCGAACAAGCTAAGGAGTTGCAAGACGCAGCTTCTTCTTTGATCTCGAGAACTACTCGTGAAGAGGATTCGTTAAGGCAGAAAGCTAAGTCGCTTGATTCGTGCGTCCAGGGGCTTCGTTCAGCTGTAAGGAAGAGTAAATTGGATCCTAATCAAGCTGAAAAGGTAATGGATTTCTAATTTTTTTTTAAAAAAATTTATGCACAACAACAGGTATTAGGTAACTCTGTTCAATGTGTGTGCGGATGGAGAGAATTGTTTGAGGTTGATTTTTCGGTGCATTTATGTTTACATGCATGTGCATTAAGGTATTTGGTGCTAGTTCGACGTAGATTTGATTTGCGTTAACTTTTTTTTTTCATGCTTATTTATTTTCAGTTGGAAGAGGAATTGTTTAAAGCTAGTTATGTATTGAGTGAGGGAGATGCTGCAGCTTTTCTTCCGAGCAAATCTCATGGTATGTTTCATTTTTTCCTTTGTTAAATTTATGTTTTTACTGGTTGTTTGTTGGTTTTGATGTGGTTAATTACAGGAGGGTTTTTGAGGATGTTTTTGGGGCCAATCAATGTTCGTGCTAACAGAAAGGATGTGCAGCTGAAAGTGAAAGAGGAATATAATAGTTTCAGGGTATGTGTTCCGAGCTTTGATTTTTATTTTATAGCGGTGTTTAAGTTATTGTATTAGAGGTGGGTGATTAGTTTTTCTTTGAATCGCTGATAAATCTAATGGTAATTGAACAAATTGGTGTTCTTTTGGAGTTGATTAAAACTGTATCATGTTCAAGTTAAATCGCTTCTACATGCGCCAGAACTCGAATATGTTTCAATGCAAACCCATCTTTTGAGAACTTTTTCCATATTGTATTCATCATTTTTTCATGTGTGTTGTGCATGTTACTGCTTGATATTTGAGGAAGATTAAGATTTCCATATTGGTAGATAGCCTCTCCTTTGAACAGATTCTTGTATATGGAGTAGACTTTGAGGCCAGCAGCTTATGCCTTGACAAAGCCTGGTTAATATTAGTCCCAGATAATAGTTGGGATAAGCTACTATTATCTATGTTTTTGCTCCTTTCAACTTGAATTACATATTATTGAAGTTCTTTCTAACTGACCATCTACACTTCGTTATGAGAGAAGAGAGCTAGTGCTGCTTCTATCAATCAAACTTGAAATGATTCTGCCCTTCCCAGATAAAATGGATAAATGACTTGGATACATGGAAAGCCTCAGTTTTGTGCAAACCTCTTTCTTGAAATTACTATATCCGATCTTCTCTTGACAGGACAGGACAGCATATCTATTCCTTCTTTTCCCATCGGTGCTACTAGTCTTGAGGTCTTGGATGTGGGATGGATGTTTACCAGCATTGCCGGTCCAACTTTACCAGGTAGTACATTTAAATAGAAGATTTTGTCATTTGACTTCATATTCATGGTAGTCTTGCTTTCCTATTTATTATAGTGAAACTTTTACATTTAACAAACAAGTATTCTGAGCTCCTCGATGTCTTCAGGCCTGGTTGCTTTACCTCTACACAGGTTTGGCTCTGCGAGAGAACATTTTGAGAGCGAATGGAAGTGATATTCGTCCATGGTAATTGAGCAACATTCCCTATTGCCAATGAAAATTTAACATCTGTCATTTGTTTTATGTTTGTCAGTAAAACGCTTATCTTTGTTGTTTATGTAACTGAAGTAGCAGTGCAATTTTAATAATTCTAAAGTTTGTTACCAATATTATATATGTTGAACACAAAAGACAGCTAATTAACAGAAATTATGGTTGTATTGTTGCAGGTGGATAAAACATCACTACTGTGCTATGGCCATGGCACTTATAAGTCTTACCTGGGAAATAGAAAGAGAACCTAACTGTTCACAGAAGCAGGTTTTTATTCATTTAAAAACGACATGTATATTTATTTAGCTGCTTATCAACAAAAATGTACTTCTCTATAATGTTTAAGATTTATAATACACATTTTAATGTACAATCCATTGCAGAGGGGCGTGCAACTGTTCCTGAAATGGGCTATCATGCAAGGCGTTGCAATGCTCCTTCAGAATAGATATCAGAGACAAAGACTGTACACTCGTATTGCATTAGGAAAGGTACACAAACAGAGGAATCACTAGTTTGACTAAGAAACCCTTCGTGTGTCGTAATTTGTCCTTTTAAAAATCCGTCTTAAAGCTTCACTAATTTTGTGCAGATGAACTATTCCTTTTATAAGTCAAATAATTTTAATAATAAGCACCAAGATGGTTGTTGGTATCTAGTAGGCTGATATATTTCTCTCCACAGTGCCCGGACATCACAATTATCAAAAAAATAAAAATATTTCTCTGCCCTGTGGGTTGATTAAATAACAAAAAACCTTGAGGATTGACTTCAAGGTCACTCTTTTGGCTCCCTCATGTTGAGGGAATGAGTTTTGCCTTGTACCTGAATAAAGAAGACATTTGTACTCCCTATCATCCATTAACCTATCCTAATTGTGATATATTGTCTTCTGAATTCTGATTTCAGGCCAGGAGAATGGATGTTGTGTGGGGAGAGACTGCTGGAGTAGATGGTCAATTATTGTTGCTCTTCCCTGTATTATTTATCTTGCAGGTATACTGAGTTCAATTTGGACTTTTTTTAACTGAGCTACTTTTTCTCTTGAAATTTCGCTCCTGTTGTTTCAGGAGATTGGGCCTTTAGGTTCAAGTTGATTATTCTTAAGTAGTCCAAGAGTGGGAAATGCTAGTGTAACATTGCATGATGTACCTAGTGAATGCATGTTAAATATCATAGATCCCCCCTTTTAGTGACTGTCTGGTTCAAAGATACCTAAAGTCTGTCAAGTGTCCTTTTTTTATGTGAACCTTGACATGAGTTCCCCTGTGAGTTGTGTGAAGTTTCTGAATATTGGTGTAACAACATAATTTAATCTGAGCTAAAAGTAGCTAATTACAATTAGATGGGTCATGGGTGATAATCTATAGCCTTTTATGACTTGATATCACCTTTTGTGGATGATACTTCTATTCTAGACATCACATTCAACAATAGGCACTATCCTTGTCAGGAAAAAAAGTCAGTTTAATTGGTTATCCCTGTGTACACAGAACGTTCCATGAAATTTTATCGGTGTAGTGTTCTATCTTTTGAGCTGGTTCCAAATGACTCTATGTCGTTTGTTCTTAATGTCAGGGATTCGAAGCATATGTTGGAGTCTTGTTGCTTAAGACAGCATTCATTGGTGTTGTTTCTGAGTGGCAGGTAAGATGAAACTCCCTCTCTTCCACCAGATGTTATCTAGTTTGGTTGCTCATTGAGAATACAAATCAAACAATACAAGTGACTAAATTAGACCTTCCCTTCTGTAATATTCAAATATATATCTTGTGTAAGCTGCCATGCCAAAGAAATCATGTTACTGTAACAGCCCCTTCCTATCATTAACTAATCAGTTTCTAAAATAATGCGATTGTGGCAGGTTGTTACCTGTGGGATCCTTCTGATTATCATGGCAGCTGGGAATTTTGCCAACACAGTGAAGACTCTTGTGACAAAGTCTCGGGTTAAAGCCAAAATGAAGAGAGGCAAAAGTAAACAAGATCTGAAATCTGAATCTCCCGCCAAAAGTTCGTGATCGGGTGTGTCTGGTCCAGTCTAGTATCCTGGCTATGATAGACGAAGATGCGAAGTTATTCTTCATATACCCTTTTTCTCGTTCATATGAGTACGCACCATAATGCTTCTCTGACACTGACTTTGGGCTTCCGAGGATAGTTGCAGGAAATAGTCGCACATGCAGTCCCCCAAGGAATGATTTTGTTTGGTTCTTTATGTTTTGAGTGTTTTCTTGTCTCGTGTTAAGAAATTTATGATGGGAAGGGATATGTGTCTACGTTAAAAGAACTTTGACCGTTAGTGATTTCCCTTGTTACTAAATTTTGGTACTACTTAAATATTAATGATAATTGTAAGCAGCAGATGAACAAAGCCTCGTATGGTTTTTACTTGAAGACTTGCTCTGACGTGTGCCTCCTTATTTTGGTATGTATCAGTTCTATTCATACTAATTATGCATTAGGGAGCCTTTTCCAGAATGCTTCAGTTCAGTGATTTATACTTGCTACAATTTGATGACACCATTATCAGGAAACATCTCAGTGAGGACTCATATAGTAGACTTTAACTTGTTTATATTGTCGACTTTAACTTGTTTGTGACTGATGCAAGTTGCTGACAGAACGCTTGATCAGGTCTAGGTGCTGTGTTTTTTCTGGACACTAAATCGTGTAATGTCAAAGCAGGTAATTGAAAATAAACGTAGAATCCACACACTTGATATATACTGTTTTCCGTCAAACGCTTGTTATTTTTTTCCTCCTCATTCCTTTGGTCTTTCAATATTTAAAGGATGATGGATTTTATCCCCAACGAATGAAATGAATTCGATGATTATGTATTGCTATTTGCAGCACTTTCACTAGTGTAATTTAAAATGTGGTCACAAATTTCAAAATGAGTGCAACTTTGCCATTTTGCTTACTCTGCTCACATCCTTCACCTTTTCTTTGTCGCCACACCATAAACCCGACAGGTTCCTTCCCAGAGCTAGAATGCTATTCCTCTTTATCAAAAAAAAAAATTTTTAAATCACATCTTTTTTGGCTTTCCATATACTCTTTGTAACCCCATATAAGAAAATCAAATCAGAATTTAAAGTCATTGCTGCAGTTCTGTTTCGAGTTTTTGTTAGCTCATTTGAGATTTTTTGTTCAGTTCTGGCTTGAGGCTCCTGTAGTGGTTTCGATTTCTAATCATATCCAATCAACTGGTTTTGAACTGTCGTATACATGGTTCCATCGACCTTCTACAGCAACCGTCTGAATTTTGGACTTGCACCTGAAGTTCAGTGCAATATTTATACCAAACTTCGAACCACGAAAAAAAAATGTCCTGTGTGCCTAGGAAGAATCTGAATAAAAACGGTTTGTATGACAACTTTTTTCTGGTGGTTAGGTCTGCAATATTTTGTGTCCATCTCACTTGGTGAAATAACTGGTTACAAAAGAGAGTCTTACCCAGCAACAACAACATACCCTATGTAATCTTACAAGTAGAGTCTGGATGACCATCATAATTTCGTCTATCTATTATGCCAGTTTTACTATTTGTTGAAGCATATGGCAGTTTCGGAAACACACTTGTATTTTAAAATCAAACACTTATTTGTGACACATCGATGTATAAGTTTCAACAGTACCCTCTTATCCATTTCCTTTTCCTCTAGCTAGGTTCATCTACCATGAAAAATGGATCGTCTCTCAACCACAACTTTTTCCCCCGGTGACAAAAACGAGAGGGTAGAGAAAACAAGAAACTTGCAAATTTTTAGCCCACATATCTCTTTCCTATATCTGTCCAATTACTAAAAGCTGTGAAGGGAAATGACATGGTAGAAAAAACATGAACGTACTTTTATTCCTAAAAATTACAAAAAGGAAGATTCCAAAGATAAACAAAAATAGATGAAAGGGAAGAGCTTTACAAGCAATCTTAGTCAATTGGGGTAAATACTCTACTTACTTGCGCTTGCGGTTTATGAAAGCCTGACTCTACACAGATGTAATGAATTACAATTACAAACTAATGAATGCAAGACATGTATCTTTCGGTATAGATCTATTACTTAACCATTGTTAAGTGATTGATCAGAGTTCTATGGAGTATTTGTCAGTTTACAAGAGAAGACTGAACTTACGTTCTCAGCTTATCCAAAGAAATGATATTATGTGCTTTCATTTCATTTGCTGAGTTTCTATTCTTTTCATTCGGGGTCGTTTGGTTTGGAAGCAAGTTATGCATAGATTACTAATGCAAGTATTGTAATGCAGATATTTATTCTTATCGAGTGTTTAAACTAAGTAACTTCAAATAACAAGGGGAGAGGCTAAATCTAAAATAAAAATGCCAAAAAAAGCAAACCATAAAGAACTAGAGGATATTCCTGGAGGTTACATGTTTGTGGTTCATCATTCTGCTCTTTAAAAGGATGCCCATGCTGCTCCAGTCTCCGGCATCTCCGGAAGGAACAGGTTCACTGTTGAACTAGGCTGGAAAAAGCCAAGCTTTTCCAGCAGTCTATTGAATAGTATACCTGCTGCATAAGATACACCAGAAACCGTGAAGCCTAAAATAATGTAAGTTGATATAGTTTTGAAGTAAGGTTTAGGTGCTCTCTGAACATAGGCCTTTCCAGTTGCCAGCATTAAGATGCATACAAGTGAAGCTGCAGCAACTGCCACAATCTTGAGGTCCTTGTCATCACTTTTGCGGAATGAGAAGCCATAGGTTACGGGAGGCAATAGTCCAAATATAATATATGATAATACAACAAGTACAGCATGCAGTGTGAAGTTTTCTCTCCGGCCAAGTTGTTCTCGATACCTATCTACATGTTTTTCCATTATCTGATTGCTGGCTTGCTCGAAACGATCTCTTTTCAACTCCCAAAGCTGCAAGTTTTATGAATTCAGAATGGATACAGAAAATTGAACTGAAAACATGAGGAAGAAAAGATGCCCCCACAAATTGATTGATTAGAGTAAATTTTGGTAAAGAAGGAAAACATGGCTTCAAAATGTGATAAAAAATTTCCCATCTATATTAGCATCTTTAGTCCCTCAAATGAAGAGGTTAGCTAAAGCTTCAGGTTAAATGGTTCTTCTATGCCATTGCTAGGACCTAATTATTTTTTTTATAACCATGGTGTTCGGGAATGCTTGCACGGACCTCGACTAATTCCACGAAATATCTGTCACCTCCTATTAGCAACAAGTACCAGGTAACTCTGTCCACCAAGGTTAAAAACAAATGGGAATAAATCACCTAGTGTTTGTCTCTGCTGGGAATTGAACATGAGAATAAATCACCTAGCGTTTTGTCTTTGCTGAGAATTGAACCTAAGACTTCATGGTGCTCAACCCACTTCATTGACCACTAGGCCACACCCTTGGGTGCAGCTACGACCTAATTTTTGTTGGAGAGTGCTCGTCTCCCCTAGGTAAATAATTCGTTCATAAGAAATCCAACAACAACAACATACTCAATGTAATCCCACAAGTTGGGTTTGGGGAGGGTAGAGTGTAGGCAAACATTTATCCCTATCATGGGAGGTAGAGAGGTTGTTTCTAATACCCTCGGCTCCAGGAAAAGCATATTAAAGCAGATGGAAAAACATAATCGGAAGTGAAGAAATCATGGTAAAATGCTAAAGCCAACTTACATTGTGGAAAATGATGAAAAGTCCACCAAACAGATTAGCCATTGCTAGAACTAAAATGTTCACTGCAGTAAGACATGAAGATACCATCAAAACCAGAAGAAAATTTAAAAGACAAAGTAGGGAGCCAGAGCCTTTCATAGAAGTGGTTTTTTTTTTCTCAAATAAATTTTAGATGTTCAAGAAGATGGAATACATCCATAGCAAAATCAAATTGTAATTGACCAAGAAAATCACTTACAAGTTTTTTAATTAGCCTAAAGTCAAATTGTACTACTAATCCATATAAACAATATTTATTTCTTGGCTAAGTTTGTCAGAGGCACTATTCCCACACCAGTGAGGGTAAATGAATAAATACTTGTGAAAATTCAGATAAAGCATCAGTTGAGTAATTGAACTATGTTATGGATGATTGAAACATGATAATACTACATATCTCTTACATGTAGTCGTGTCACCACCGGTAGCAGACGCAACAACGCTTAAGCTTGTAATTGACTCAGCTAAACCCCCAAATATAATGCTTTTAACGATCTCAATTTTGTAACCATCTGCACCATCAGTTGCTTGTCCTTCAACAGAATGGATTTGAGTATCTAGATTTGCTGAAGCTGTTTCTCTAGTTTCATGCCCTGCTTCCACAGTTATAATAGTATCGTTGCCTGCTACACAATTGAGTCAAGAAATCTAAGCTACATAAAACTCCATTTTACAAAGTAGTAGTGCTGAGAATATGCACTATCATCTTTATTCAACCTCTCTTCAGCATAATCACATAATTTATTCAACATAAAAACACAACAATCCTACTAGCCTAGTTCTTCTTTTACGAAAGATACTGATAGCGGAGGTTCAGCACTAGCCACTAAGTATAGGCTGTGCTTGGCAGTCCAAGCATTTGGATTGATAGTATGGTAGAAGATGATACATCAGATTATGGATTCTTCCATTTTCAAAATCAATCAACTTTATACATCAACAAGTGTAATGATTCCATGGATAACAGTGCTTCAACTCTTTGGACATACTTTTTCATCGACTCACAGCTTTAGGAGAGAGCTTACTAGGAAGCTTACAAGTGGTGAGAAGCTAATGAAAAAGACTTTCTCAATAATCTCTGATCCCTAATTGCAACCAGATTTATGTACAGTCACCATAAAGTATTACAATGAAATATGTCCAGTTCTTACCTGCAATGTTATTTGCAGCTGCTACCACAGAAATGTTGGGGATGTTATCCGGTTTATCTTGAATTGATAAAGCATCCTTAACCGATGAAATCAAGTCATGCTCATCAACGTTTAAAGGCTGCTTTGAGTGGATCTCTATATTTGTCTTTGTGATGGTATGCTGAGAAACTTCATAGTGATGGGCACCGTCTGTCAATGAAAGGGAGACATAGTAATTGGCAGCAAAGCAATCAAATCAAACACTAGTAAGGCAGCATAAAGGCAAAAAACTTTTCTCAAGCTAACACCACTTTACCGCAGATGACAAGTTGATGAGAGTGCAACAAAAATACTTCATTGCGAACCAACATTTAGCAGATGAATGGAATTGCTCTTTTTAGCGCAAACAATTACACGAATACAAAACATTAAGTGCCTAAATTCCTACGAACTAAATTGGAAATTAAAGCTTCAGGTGACAGGGAAACACTTATTTAAGAGATAACCTATTTCAGGCAAACCATTCAGGATTTTGCTATACTTAACACTCTGTTAGCATCTTACAACAATTTTTAGCTCAGTATTGACAAATAT